AACGAAGGAGTGGCTTCGTAAGAAGCATTTCAAGGTTCTGGAGTGGCCTAGCGAGTCTCCAGATCTCAACCCCATAGAAAACCTTTGGAGGGAGTTGAAAGTCCGTGTTGCCCAGCGACAGCCCCAAAACATCACTGCTCTAGAGGAGATCTGCATGGAGGAATGGGCCAACATACCAGCAACAGTGTGTGCCAACCTTGTGAAGACTTACAGGAAACGTTTGACCTCTGTCATTGCTAACAAAGGATATATAACAAAGTATTGAGATGAACTTTTGATATTGACCAAATACTTATTTTCCACCATAATTTGCAAATAAATTCTTTCCAAATCAGCCAATGTGATTGTCTGGATTTTTTTTCTCATTTTGTCTCTCATAGTTGAGGTCTACCTATGATGCCAATTACAGGCCTCCCTCATCTTTTTAAGTGGGAGAACTTGCACAATTGGTGGCTGACTAAATACTTTTTTGTCCTACTGTGTATATATATATATATATATATATATATATATATATATATATATATATATATATATATATATATATATATAATATATATATATATATATTTTAATGTGGTCAAAATTGCAGCATGTCAAAATATTTGGGAAGAATATTTTTAAAATATAAAATATATACTTTTCTTCCAAATGGGTGAGGTTGATTTATTAAACTGGAGAGTGCAAATTCTGGTGTAGCTCTGTATAGAAACCAATCAGCTTCCAGTTTTATCAAAGCTTAACTGAACAAGCTGAGGGTGGAATCTGATTGGCAACCATGCACAGCTGCACCAGAACTTGCACTCTCCAGTTTTAGTAAATCAATCCCACTGAGTCCTATATGGAGTTCTATTCTGAAATCAATAACAAGGATATATAAGATAGGGTAGGTACAGTACAACAATAAAAGTGCGCTGGCAGCAGAACTTCAATGTCTGCCCAATCATTACAGCAATGAAAAGCATGTGAAGGCAACATAACCAAATGGAATGTCTGTCTTTTGCCGAGTTAATATAATATTCGGGATATTTATGGTGTACACTTTCTGTGCTATGGCATTCAATTCACAGATTGAGATACTTTTTAATAACCCTCAAAAGAAATGTTTATAATCTATTGGCTAACCCAGTGCAATTTCTCTTTCTTTAGAATTCAATTGCTAGGCCTATGAAGAGACATACAAAAGTCTTCCTAAATTCATGTTCTCGAATAGGATGTTCTGATGCATTCTCTGGGGACTAGCGGTATGACTATGGGACATGTAATCTGTAGAAACATTAATCTGTAATATGATCCAGCATGCAGGCCCTCATACACCAGACTATTAATAGCAAACACATTCCTGGTCTTGTCATCGCCGGACACAAATGGCAAAGCTGTGCACTTTAGGCTGTCAGTCCAGAATGACTGAACTTCCAGAATAAAATTTCTCTAACCTCTGGGTTTGGACAATGTAGTATTCTACTTCTATATTTTACTTCTTTTGAAATTGCAGGGATACAGAATATGTTCAACATTCTTCTGTATATAAAGCGACATGCTGTAACGTCACATTGGGTTATCACATTAATCGATAAAATAATAAATTAATTTTGTATGATATCAGAAGCTATCAGAGGCTTGATATCTTAGCAATAAAGACATTTTTTGATAAGTTGAAAAACAGCAAAAACAACAATTTAGTATATAGAAAAAAAAGCAAAAACAATTTTGACATGTTTAGTTACACAGAAATAATGCATAGAACAATGTAGTATTGAAAAATAAGAAAAAAAAGCAAAAAACTTTTTTTTGTTGTTGTGTTTAGTTATACAGATATAATGATGATGTTACCTAGTTTCCTGGACATGTGACATTGCTGCTATTGACTACAGTGTGTTTTTTTTTTTTAATTTATAGATCTATTACTTTAAGCTGATGCCCCAAAAAAAAGCAAGAGAGGGATAAACAAACTATATATATATTTAATAAATTTACATATGTGGCATATAATTTCCAATAGTCTCCAATCAGCAGGGAGCATTGCTTTACTAAGGAAACCAAGGGTCCTACTTTTCCACACAAGGAACAGCCCATCTCTCCCTTGAGCACTTCTCATATCAACAGGTCCGCTTTAAGCAATATTAAAGCAAAAAGCAAACATTTATTATATTGCAGCTTACCAAATCTTAGATGTGATGGCTGCTTTAGTTTTCTTTCTTTTACTGTATTTTCACCTGATGCTCCTTCTAGTAAGTCCACAGGAGAGCTTGTGTGTGAGAGCCAAGGTTCAAAAAGAGGTATATCTATTATTGTATAAGAAACAGTTTGTGTTACAATAGAAATTAGGAATTACAAAAAGTGTTAGTTGGCATTCCACATAATATCTATAACTCTGTAAGGGCTCATGTACTCGGGGCATTTGGAAAACTCTTCTGACAGCTGGAAACTGACTGCTAGAAAATGTAGGTTAAAAAACATCAGTTTAGCCACGTTTGCATACCGTGTTTATGCGCGTTTGCGTTTAGAAGCATTTTTAAAAGATAACCTCAGGAGACCTTCCAAATGCCCAGAATGCACTGAAAACTAGTAAATAATTAACTATTTCAGACATTTTGAGAGAGCAGAAGCAGAGAGAGCAGTATGTGTTGAGATGAGCTGTCTTTTCTGGTTGTATTCACTATGGATCCCATCATGAGCATAATGCAGCACGTTCTAACATTTTTTCCTTCACGCAAAACCTGGAACTGACTGCGATGGTGTACCGGGTTTATTTGAATACAAAACGCTTTGCATGCATATTTGATGAAGAAAAAAGGTTCTGGAGAGCATCTGGATATGGACCTGTCAAAAAACGTGTCTAAACGCAAATGCTTGTAAATGTGGTTAACCGCGTTTGGCATTTGAAACACTGGTAAAGTCTACTCCTGAACGCAATTTTGGTGCGTTCAATAAAACATCTGTAAACTCAACTGCCTTTAAACGACGATGTGTACATGGACACATAGGAAAACATAAAGGAGAATTCAGGGGCTGCTGAAAAAAAAAACGCTGAACAGCTCCTGAACGTCAGTTTAGCAGCTGCAGTGTACATGAGCCCTGAGGGTCATTGATCAGTGATCACCTCAAGCATCTAGTCATTTCAGTGGCAGGGGCGGACTGACAACTCATGGGGCCCCCGGGCAATAGGGGATCATGGGGCCCTTGTGTCCTTGCCCAAACTCAAAAAAGCCTATGAAAAAGGTATCAGGGGCATCTCATGGGGCCCCCTACTGACCCCAGGCCCTCGGGCAGTGCCCGAGTTTCCAAATGGTCAGTCCGCCCCTGTTCAGTGGTAACCCCTATACTTCAGACCAGTGGCGTCCCAAGGCAGGTGCGGGGGGGTGCGCACCACACTGGGTGATACCTACCGCACAGGATGACACTGAACCCGCTCCACGAAAAGGTAAGTTGTAAAGCAAGCCAACGTTCCCCGCAGGATGGATCCGATCCTTCCTGCAGGGTTCGTCGGCTTTCTTTACAACTTACCTTTTCGTGGAGCGGGCCCGGGGTCACCCTGTTGCATGCCAACGATCCCCACAGGATGGATCGGATCTGCGGATTGGGGAGCATAATGGTTCAGAGTCTGATCCATTATGCTCAATCTGCAGATCCAATCCATTCTGCGGGGATCGTCGGAGGGGGTGTCACCAAGTGTTATCGCACCGGGTGACACCAACCCTAGGGACACCCCTGCTTCAAACAGACATAAAAGACACAAATGAACCCAGCTCTGTATTCAATGATAGAGCCTCATAGGTATGTAATGGACTGTAGGAGCACTTGTGCTGTATTCTGCAACTTCCTGCCTGCTGTGGAATATAAAGAAATAAACTAAAGCCTGCCAAACATGGAGCAAAATTCAGCCGGTTCAGCAGGGACCAGCCCAATTTCAATCCATGTATGGCACCTGGTTGTATAAAAGATGATCCATTGTGTACAACCAGTCTGTTGGGATTTTCCCAAATGATTAGGGCCATCGGCTATGGCCAGCAACGCTAATCCATGTGTTCTTCCGGCAGGGAAGGCTTCTCACCGACAAAAAACAATCACACTGTGGGAGGGATTCCTCCATCAACACTGACTGTGTAGATGGGGGAATCAAGCCATTTTCTTTCCCTTCACCCATGCTTGCATAATCTTTGGCCTGCTTTAGAGTTTCTCTGCCATCCAGAAGAGGACTTGAATATTTATTCCTCTGATTGGCCAAGATTGAGAGGCGGATGGGTGACATTACAATCTCCAATCAGAAGAAGCATTTTTAAATTACGCTCTTAATATTCAGCAAAAGACGGAAAGTCACCTGTACTGCTGCCAGGACATAACATCGCCTACTGCTTGTACCTAATTCTACAGTCCATTACAACACACCCAGCAAAAAAATACTGTTTTGTAATGGAATTAGTTTGCTAGGGCCAGCCTAACCCAGTGACATTAAATATGGGATTCTACTTTTTTTTTTTTTTTTAAATTAAACATTTAGCATAAGATACAACAAACAAAACATTTAAATTACAGCTGCAAGCAACATAAAAAAAAAACAAAAAACATTTAAACAACCACAACAATAACTGTGCCTACAGATGTCCCGATAAGTACCCATAGAAAGATGGGCATAAAAAATACAACACAAGATCACTTCACCCTGTTTCATTGTACAGAGTTGAGTTAAGAGAGCAATTTACACCCCATTAGAGAAGCAAAGAGGTAAGCTAGTCAAAGCAGTGTAGCAAACAAATCCAGTATGCCCGCTTCCATGCCGCCCTATAGCAAATACTGCTAAAGGATGGCATGGGTGCGCAAAATCACATATACATATGCAAAATTTTGCAGTACCGGGTAGGGGGCACACGTGCTGTTTGCAGCTTCAGCTATCAATCACCGGGTCCCAGCAGGTGATTCCCTGCCAGCAGCCAGCGATCTCCAATGATTTCAGACAGGTGAGAGACCTGTATGTAAACAATACAGATCTCTCCCCTGTTAGCTCCTGTACAGTGCTTTGTATGGCTCTACATAGAAGAGCCATACAAAGCAGTGTGCTTACAGTGAAAACACACACACAGCCCACATACAGTAGTAAAACAGCACACAGTTAACCCTTTGATCGCCCCACATGTTAACCCCTTCCATCCCAGTGCCATTAGTACAGTGTCAGTGCTTTTTGTAGCACTGATCACTGTATTGGTGTCACTGTGGATGTCAGTAACACCAAGTCAGTTCCCCCCAGTGTCAGAATGCTTGCCGCAGTCCCGCTATAAGTCACTGATAGCCCCCATTACTAGTAAAGAAAATAGTAAAAAACTAATTCCAGCATATATACCGCCATTTGTAAACGCTATAACTTTCACATAAACCAATTAATTTACAGGTATTGGGATTTAGACAAGTAGCAGAATACATTTTGCTCTTTATATATATATATATATATATGATGAAATTAGATTTCTTACATTTTTTTATTGGACATGTTTAATAGCAAAAAGTCAAAATTTTTATTTTTTTTTTCAAAATTGTTTGTTTTTTTTTTGTTTATATAGCGCAAAAAATATAAACCACACAGGTGATCAAATACCACCAAAAGAAAGCTCTATTTGTGGGAAAAAGGATTTAAATTTAATTTGGGCGCAGCATTGCATGACCTCGCAATTGTCATTTAAAGTAACACAGCGCCGTATCGCAAAAAAAAATGGCTAGATGAGGAATAGGGGAAAATCCTCTGGAGGACAAGTGGATACACTAAATATCATGGCAGAAAGAAAAGAGAAAACCAAAAAAACAGAGACTCCAATAGGAGAAAAACTCGTTAGAATATGACTCAATCCGAAACAGTGAGGGAAGATGCTGTCCACCCACCCCAAACCTTGTCAAACTTCAGGAGTGCTATTAATGGGATTCAATTTATTATTATTATACAGGATTTATACAGCGCCAACAGTTTGCTCAGTGCTGTACAATATAACAGGAGACAATACAGCAACAATACAGTTCAATACAAGAATGTTAGGAGGGACTGATCCTGGGAGCTTACAATCAAAGAGGTAGGGGACAACTCTAAACTTCCTCAGTGCAACTGGATGTTTTAAGTTAATTTTTAGCTAACTAAAAATGTTGATTTAACAACCAGCTATAGTACAAATTTTGCTATCTTGTATTTGGACACAGATAAGAATTCTTGAATGTCACCTATTGTAATATTGACACTAGCAGAAAGATATTGTTTACTCCACTTTGTGAACTGCTGCATGTTCAAGAGCCACCTTCCTGGAGAGAAATTGCTTCTAAATATGTGAATTCTACACTAAAATCGTAATAGAATAATACATTTATAAGTAATTAAACATTTTCATAAAATCCTGAACCCTAAGCGTGCTCCCACGATGGTTTCAATGAATGATGTACTAGTCATCTTTTGCTGCTGTTCTGCCAGTGTGTTGAGTTACAGGTTCTTGGTAATAAGACAGCATACCCCAGCTGGCAGCTGTCATGTCCCATCAGAGGTCAAATTCCTTTTTTTTTCTCTTGAAGATAAAAATGAGCTTTTTGATTGGTGGATGTCGAGTTTGGCCTTGGACAGTAAATCTTAGTGGAATGGCACACAGTTACAAAGTAATCCAGATTATAGAACAAATTCTACTGTCCTATCACAGAACACCCAAACTAATAGTTTAAGTGATTGATCTTGTCATGTTAAATTGTAACTCCTGCTTCTGGTGACGAAAAAAAAAAAAAAGAAAAGGAGAGTCACAATGGTCATGATGTGGATAAATATCCAGCTACACTTATTTAGTTCTCCTGAAGTGTTGACATGCTGCTGAGATTTAATGACAGCTTTAGCACTGCTTGTTGCTGCACTGGAATCTGTCTGCTAGCACTACTCCAGGATGTATTAACCACAAAGGATTTACCCCCCCCCCGACCAGGCCATTTTTTTGCGTTATAGTGCTGAGTTATTCTAACTGACAATTGCGGTCATGCACCCAAATTAAATTTATGTCCTTTTTTCCCCACAAATGGAGCTTTCTTTCTGTGGTATTTGATCGCCTCTGAGTTTTTCATTTTTTGCGCTATAAACAAAACAAGGCCAACAAGTCTGAAAAAACAAACAATATTTTTGACATTTTGCTATAAAACATATCAAGTAAAAAAAAAAAAAAAAAATCAAATTTCTTCATAAATTTAGGCCAAAATATATTCTGCTACATGCCTTTGTTAAAACAAAAATCCCAATACATGTAAATTAATTGGTTTACGTGAAATTTATAGTGTCTACAAATGGCGGTATATATACACTGGAATTTTTTTTTTTTAAACTTCATACTAGTAATAGAGGTGATCAGTGACTTATAGCAGGACTGCAGTGGGCATTCTGACACTGGTGGGGGAACTGACTGGTGTCAATGACATCCTCAGAGACGCTAATACAGTGATCAGTGCTAATAAAAAGCACTGACACTGCACTAATGACACTGGACAGGAAGGGGTTAACATCTGGGGCAATGAAAGGGTTAACTGTGTGCTGTTTTACTATGTTGCCTGTGTGTGTTTACTATGTAAGCATGCAGAGCAATACAAAGCAGCATGCTGGTGCTGACAGGGGAGAGATCTGTATTGTTTACATACAGACCTCTCTCCTGTCAGTGTTCCTCGGCAATCACCGGGTGCTGGCGGGGAATCTCTGGCCGGGACCCGGTAATTGACAGCTGTAGCCGCCAATGTGTGCCCCCTACCTGGAAATACAAAATCACACACACACACACACACACACATATACAGTATGTGATTTTTCGCAGCCCTGCCACCCTATAGCAGTACTTCAGCTGTCCCCAGCTCTGCTAGGTAATGAGCTACTGAGTCATGACTGAGAACAGACATACTGGCAAGGTTTACATTGGACTCATGCTCCCTGCAAAACTTTGGGAAAAAGTCACCAGTCTGTTGGTAAAGGGTGCTTGTCATACATTCATCACAAAGTCTGCCATGATCGTCACACTATGTAGCAGTGCTGTATGAGTGAGGGGTTAGGAGAGCTAGAGCATGGTTACAATGCCATGTCTTTCACAGAACTGAAAATTGTCACCTTTTTCTCTTCTAAATATCATAATAGGCAATTATTTCCTTCGCAGGGGAAAAACATGAAATTCAGTCTAAATTTGTTGCAGACAAATCTGATATGAATCCTGAATTTTCTGGTCCTTCAGTTTTGTTTTTTTTTTACAAGGAAAGTTCCTTCACTCCTTTTACATGTATGTAAGCAAAATTATTTATAGGAAAAGTATTTTCCTGTAGTTCTTTATTGCAGTCTTTACTAATATATGTGTACATACGGCACAGTGGCTTAGTGGTTAGCATGTCTGCCATGCGGTAATTGGGTCATGGATTCAATTCCCAAGCATGGCGCCTCCTGTATGGAGTTTGCATGTTCTCCCTGTGCTTGCATGGGTTTCCTCCGGGTACTCTGGTTTCCTCCCACACTCCAAAGACATGCTGGTAGGTTAATTATCTCCTGTCTAAATTGTCCTAGTTTTATCCCTGGCCATGCGGGATCTCCTGCATGGTAGGGGTTGGGGAAAGACCTGGTAACCTACCCTGTAAAATAATTGCTAAGAGAATTCATGGAAAAACTCGCTTGCAAGTGACGGTCCATGCAATCGCCATGGGTCAGATACGACTGAATGTATATATATACAGACTGTATATATATGTATTTTACAGGTATTTATATATCACCGACAATTTACACAGTGCTTTAAATACAGTGTATATGTATTGTACATTCACATCAGTCCCAGGCCTCAAGGAGCTTACAATTTAAAGTCCCTAACTCACATTCATACATATATATACTAGGGCTCATTTAGACAGGCTGCAATCAAACAGTGATGGAGGATGAGTTTCTCCCATATATTGGTGGGTATGGAAGAGTGGTGTAGCAGGAAGAAGACCGGATCATCCTGTATGCTAAAGTCCACGAATTTCGAAGAAATTTTCCCTTACTTTAGTCCAGAAGGGCTTTATTCTTGGGCAGTACAAAAAAATATGAAAGTAAATGGTAAACCACCAGCAGGTGTCAGCCACGTCTCCTTAAAATATATGCAGGACTGATGCGGTTCTGTAACATCTAGACCAGCCTTTCTCAACCTTTTCAACACAGGGGAACCCTTGGAAAATAATGTTCAAGTCTCAGGGAACCCCTTTAAAAATGACTATATCTACAACTCCTAATACATTAATGTGATAGTCAGTGGGAAGAATGATCTTTACACTTGTGGCCATTGAGAAGAATTCCCCCCTTACAAAACGTTAAAAAGATGAATGGTGTCAGTGGAAACTTATCTGAGAGGCATAAATTGTTCATTGCTCAGGGAACCCCTAGCAACCCCTGGAGGAACCCTGGTTGAGAAACCCTGATCTAGACTTCGTTTCCTGGAGATTTGTGCAAAATAGAAAATTTCAAGGAGAGGTTGAGTTTTCTTTGAGTTTGCTGCACTGAGAATATAAACTTGTACATCTTACTATTGAACGAGATATGAAATCTTATGATCTTCCAGTGGCTGGGAGATTAAGCAATAGAGGACAGATAATGAGTATGTAAAGCTTCATGTGAAGCATTTGAAAGTGGGTGAGGGGTCTTGAAAATGCCAAGGGAGATTGTAGGGAGTTGATATAGGGGGGGGGGATTTACTAAAACTGGACCACTCACAATCTGTAGCTGAGCATGGTAGTCAATCTTTTTCTAACTTCAGCTTGTTCAATTAAGCTTGGAAAATAAAACCTAAAAGGTGATTTGGTTTTATGCAAAGCCGCACCAGATTTTGCACCATGAAAAAAAAAACAAAAAAAAAACATTTTTGTCTCAGTCAAGCAAGGCTTTCCAGTCATCTAAATTGAAGGGGCTTTTGGTAGCTGTGAAAGCTGAGACAGAGGACCATCATCCATTGTCAATGAATTGGGAGGCCTGACATAGGTTATTCTCAAGTAGGTTTTGAAATGGTCCATACATGGAACCTCGTTATAATCCTGGGTTGCTGAGAATCAGATAAAGTTGCTGTGACCCAACTAAGAAAACCAGCCTGTGTTCCACTTGTGAAGAAGAGATCCTGATTTGTGGAGGGAGGGATGTGAGAGTGATGGTGTCCCACAGATTAGTTGGAATAAGGGTACCAAAGTATTTGATTGCCCTGGTCGCCCAGTGGAATTGAAAATTAGTTTTAAGGCTGTTTATTTGCAATAGGGACCATGTAGTCGCCTACCTGCAGCCTTTTTATATTCGGGTAGGAGCTCACGTTACAAAGGAAAGGTTTTAAGGCGTGTTTAGGAAAAAGTATTGTTATCTAGAAGGAAGAGTTCTAAGGAGAGTATAGAAAC